GGAGGGGAGAGGAGGGGAGGGGAGGGGAGGAAGGAAGAAAAAGGAGGGAGGGGGGAAGGGAAGGAAGGGGAGGAGAGAAAGGAGACGGAGGGAAGGGGAGGGAGGGAGGGAGGGAGGGAGGGAGGACAAACAGACTCCACACAGAAGAGCCTTTAGATGGAGGGAAGAGCAAGTGATGAGGCTAGGAGGGAGGTGAGTGGCAGCAGGTGGGGTCTGAGGTGGGGCACAGGTCACGAGGAAGCTTGTGAGCCACAGTGGGGACTTGGGATCATAGCTGGGAACCTCAGAGTGTTCTGAGCAGGCCATATGCATTCAGAGATCACTCAGGGTGCTGGGCTGAAAACTGGTCCCTGTGGGAGTGGGGACGAGGGTAGAGTAAGGGAGATGGTGAGGAAGCAGAGGTAGATGTCTAGGTAAGATGAGAGTAGCCCTGACAAGAAGAAGGATGGGGTGTCACAGAGAGAAAAGCCCGAGGTGGGGGACCTGGTCCCTGTGGGCAAGTGCTGGGCAGCTGGCAGCAGGCCTCTAGCCTAGGTGCTACAGGGCTGGTCATCCCATCTCCTGAGCCTCACACAGAACAACAGAGCTCACCTGTCACGGTGGCAGGGAGGACCAGAGACCAGGCCTGGGAACCTGAGTGGGACTGGCTGCCTCTTGGCTGTTAAGGCCCACAGTTTTCTTTCTTTCTTTTTTTTTTTGAGACAGGGTCTCACTTTGTCGTTCTCGGTAGAGTGTCCTGGTGTCATAACTCACAGCAACCTCAAACTCTTGGGCTCAAATGGTCCTCCTGCCTCAGCCTCCCAAGTAGCTGGGACTATAGGCGCAACACCCAGCTATTTTAGAGATGAGGTCTGGCTCCTGCTGAGGCTGGTTTCCAACCTATGAGCTCAGGCAATCCACCAACCTTAGCCTCCCAGAGTGCTAGGAGTATAGGCATTAGCCACTGGGCCAGGCTACCCACTTTTCTGCTGGGCTTCCTATTCCAGAGGGTGGCCTGTAAGCCGGGTCACTCAGATCTCTTCCCTTTCTTCTTCAGCATTCCCAAAGCTGCTCCTGCCGTGCCTTCCAGAACACTCAGTGGTCTAAGGGCCATCGAGGCCCAGCCTTGGGTTAAAAAGGGAGCCTTGGAGGTGGACAGGCCTGGGTCTGAGTCCTGCCTCTGCCTGCCCTGCTGTGGGAAGCTGGGCAAGTCTCACCACCTCTCTGACCCCTGGTCGCTCATCTGCCACCTCAGTGTTGTCAAGACGTTTGCTGCTAAGTCCCTGGCTATACCTGACACAGAGCGGGTTCTTGAGAAACAGGGCTGTTCTGGAACAGCTAACCCTGAGCTGCACATGCCACTCCCTGCTACTCAGCCCTCTGCTGTCTCAGCTGCGATGTTGGGCTCTGCACATTGTCACCCATGGCTCCAGGGCTCTCTCCCAGCCTAGGCTGGTCCCCTGGGGCCCCGTGCCCCTCACTCAGTGGTCCAGGGCCAGGCTGACTTCTGCCTTCCCTTGTCTTCTGATTCTGACCCAGTCTTTGGGTTCAGGTATTACTTCTCTAGTGAAAACTAGGGCCCTGTCCTGAAGTGTCACCACCCTCTAGGAAAGAAATAGCCACACTCACAGGAGCACCATCCCGTGCTCCAGGCACCATCCTGAGGGCCCTCTGTAGACTAACAGGTTAAATCTACAAAGCAGCCTTCAGAGGGAGCCACTATTACTATTACTCCCCTTGTACAGATTGGAAACTGAGGCACACAGATGTTAAAGTAACTACGTAACACTGGCACTGCCTTTCAGCTGGTCATTCTCTTACTACGTTATCCTTTCATCTTTCCTGCGATTGTTTTATCTTTGCCTATGACCTGGCAGAAGGACATGAACCATGACAGAGCCAGGCCTGTCCTCTCTGGAACATGCACAAACATTTGATCCTCACCACAGTTGTGTGCGTTGAGGACTATGTGTACCCAGAATCCTCGATGTGGCAATTAAGGCACAGAGGAGTTAAGCCACTTGTCCAGAGGCTCACAGAAAGGGAGTGGAGGAGTCTGGCTTCAAACTGAGGCCACCAGGCTGCAGAGCTTGACGGCCATGTTTCTATCACAGAACTGGTGCAGAGAGACGTACGGTATGTGGAGCATGATCACATTTGATTAAAAAATATGCTTCTGTGTGCAGAAAAAAATCCTGGAAGAAATTATGAACAATGATCACCTCTGGGAAATAGGTAGAAAAATGAGACTTTCACTTCTCATTTGATACCCTTCCCAACCGTCTGAATTTATTTTATCATAATCAGATGTTATAATCATAATAATAAAAACTAACTTAAAAAAGGCTGACACCTGGACTTCAGTATCTTGTCATTTAAGAAAGAAAAAAAGAATCTTTGAACCCAGAGAAGAACTAAGATGTCTTGGCTCCCGAGGGTTTTAAAGTCTGCATTATCTTTCTCTCTCTCTCAGCCGCCAGGCTAGGGATTTTAACAAAGGAAGGACGAGAGGGTGGTGAGATTTTTTTCTTGTCAGGTCACACTTTTCCTCAAATTAGAATTCCGGGTCTAGGTAATGTTAGCTCTGCTAGTATCAGGGAAGTATATTCTCTGGGCAAATTAAAACCTTTAGATCCAAAAGAGAAAAAACAGAAAGAAAGACAGAGACATACGCAAACACACCAAAGGGTAACTGTGGAAGCCAGCGGGGACAGCCCCTTGCCTTTGATTTTGGCATTTCCCAGAATCCCCTGCATAGGGGAATGTGACTCAGAGTGTGGCCCATGGAGCATCTGGAAGGAGCCCATCAAGCCCGTCTCCTGTGGTGAGGAAGCAGGGCTGGCTGTCAACAGTTCCCGGCTGGAAAGGTGAGCTGTCCACAGGCTCTAGTCCTGAGAGGTGAGGACAAAGATCTGCTCCCCAGGAGTCTTACTTCTGCAACTGTGTCCTTCAGAAAGGCCCACAGGGACCACATATGTGGTGCCACGTGCACAGGGTGCGTCCTGGGGTCCAGCGATGTTACAAATGCAAGACCCTTCACCAGGGGAAGGACCAGGCCAGCCCTGGCTCCCCAGAACACCATCCCAAAGGAGTGAGGCTGACCAACAGGGCATGGGAAATAAGAAGTGGGTATGCATAGTGTGAAACCATTTTTTAGAAAACTCACACACAGCCTAGCTTGTACACAGCCTAGTATACATATGCCAGACTTCGTATGGAACTCTTGTTTCTAAGGGCAGATCTGTAGGGGGGGGCTTCACTTTCTAAACACGTTCTCACCACAGCCCATGAAATCCAACACAATCCTCCCTGTACACTCTCTGCCTCATCTCCAGCTCAGGCCTCCCAACATTTCCAAAACACACTGGGCACACGCTTGCCTCAGGGCCTTTGCATTGGCCATCCCTTTTGTCTAGTGTCCTCCCCAGCATCCCTGTGGCTATTAGCTTTCTCATCATTCTGGTTTGGCTCGAATGTCACTTCCACAGAGGGACCTCCCCTGACCACTTGGTTGACCTACTGTGACCCAGATGACCTACTGTGTGCCCTCCGAGCCCAGGTGCCCTCTACCAGGCCATCATGCGCTCCAGCTTCACTGTCCTATCTCATCATGACTGTTCTGTGTGTCTGCTATTCCCTTCCTTCCTACCTCTCGTCATGTGCAGTGTTGGGGACAGGGTCTACCCTGCTGTAGGCTCTCAAAAGTAGTTAAGTGAAGGGCTGGGTAGGGTGGTCCATTTCTGTAATCCCAGCACTCTGCAGGGCCGAGGCTGGTGGAATGCTCAAGCTCAGAGTTTAAAACCAGCCTGAGCAAAAGCAAGACAGTCCTCTACTAAAAAACAGAAAAATTAGCCAGGCATTGTGGCTGTAACCCTGGCACTCTGGGAGGCTGAGGCAGGTGGATTGCTTGAGCTCACAAGTTCAAGACTAGCCTGAGCACGAGTGAGACCCCATCTCTAAAAAATAGCCAGGTGTGGTGGGCGTCTGCAGTCCCAGCTATTCAGGAGGCGGAGGCAGGAGGATCACTTGAGCCCAAAAGTTTGAGGTTGCTGTGACCTACAACGATGCCATAGTGATCTACCCAGGGTGATAGAGTGACTGTGTCTCAAAAAGAAAAAGATAAAAGTAGTTAAGCGTATCACATACGACCAACCTTCCTTATGACCATTGTCCCTCCCTCTTACAAGTTGAAGTGACTTATATAAAACCAAAAAAAAGTATAGGGACATTTAAAAAAATGAAGCCAAAAGAACACAAATATTCCTTTCCTGCTCGGTTTTATTTCTGTTCATTTGCTAAAATCACCTTCCAGCTCCTAGGTACACTAGTACTGTAATGGAACATTGGTAATTCTATAGAGGAAGCCTGGCTCACTAGAAGAAATTATGCTAGAACCTTCTACTGTGATCCTCAAACCTGCACCTGTCTCATCTACTGCAGCCTCTGAGGCCTGACCTCATTAGAGGGCTGCATGATGCAAC